TTTCTTCTCAGGGTTGGTAACTATCTGGGTTGTTTGTTTTAGGGAATGATTGGATCAGAAGGTGGGGCTGAAGAACAAAAGTGTAGAATGTATCTGAGTCTCTTCATGAGGCTGTAGCAGTGGGTGATGTTCTTTCATGCTCAGGATGGAATTCCTGCAATGCTGGAATCTGCGAGAAAATAGCTATGATGGAATTTTGGCCAATGCTGCAATCTTATGATGAATTTCAGCAGAGCCAGAATACTGTGATGAAACTGTAAGAATTCTTAGGCCAGAGGTGCTGACATTATAGAAAAGCTCATAGAGACCAACTCTTTAGTTTATAATGTGCAAATTGATGTCCCAAGAACTAACATTGTATGTCATTGATCACACAGAGGGTTAGTGTTGGAACTGGAATTAAGGCCAGCATTTCTTGATTCCTAGACCAGAACTCTCTTCAATATATCTATCATACAGATATGATGGTTTTCATTAGGTAAAATTCAGTAGGATTTTGGTGATAAATAACAGTTAAGTTATTATTCTTAGTCTCCCCGATCTGATGGATGATGAATTGAAAGCATAATTAATCATTTATAAATGATCTTATTTTTCAAAATTTTTATAAAGCCATCTTTGAAGTAGTAGCCTTTGGGAGCAAGAAATAAGATATTTCTATCATAACTCTCCTGATTAAAGAGGGATAATGAATGTAATACTATGTGTGTGTGATAGATTGTTATAGAATAAATGGAAGAATGTTCCTAATTTTTTAATTCAAGTTTCTTCACTTGCCCTGGGGTATCTTGGGTTCAATTATTTCTTTTATAAACTGGATAATCAGTTCTCTCCCCCCACCAAATTTCAGGTGAATGTCCATGCTTTAGGGAACTCATCTTCCTATCTAAAATGATTCGAGGGGGTTGGGTAGGAATTGATCCTAGACACCTCTTAATGTCAGTAGACTGAGGATGCCCCTTGCTTTGATTTCACTCTGAGACTAAGGGGAAGCCCACAGGAGTTCAAGAGAAGTAGAAGTCCTAATATGCATAAAATTATTGAAAAATTAGACAGGTACTTCTTCAAAGGGAATAAATAGAGCCACAGTTCAGAAACGTACTCCATTCATGCATTGCTTATTCATCTGTGGTGGCAACTCTGAAAGGTTCACCTGCATTGTAATTAGTTAGAAATGTGTGTTCTTTGCCCAACTAGGAATACAGACTTCACCACTTCATCTGTTATTAATACATCTTTTTATCTCCAATAAGCACTTAAATCATTTTCAAACATATGAGTGCCTATAACCTATTAACGGTAGTCTTGGATGCCTATTTTAGAAAAAAAATTTAAAATAGAATAATACATTTTTGACAACCACATGCTTTTTTTTTGCTGTTGCTACTAAGTTACTTCTACTTTTGCCATTATTGTTACAACTATTATTGCTACTATTGTTGCTGCTATTATTGTTATCACAACTGGTGCTACTGCTGCAATAGCAACAGACATTACTACAAGTACTGTCTTGTTGTCTTTATTGTTACTCCTGCTTCATTACTACTGCCGTGGGCACAACTACTGTTACTACTATTACTATTGTTACTACTGCTATTGCCACTACTAGAATGAAGCTAAAGTCAAAAAGAAAAAGCACATGTGGGAGGCATCACACTGAGCCCTTATCATCAAACATGTTGAATCTAACCCCTACAGCAAAATTACTGTTTCTGTTTTGCAAAATAAGTTTCATGTGGTTAAGTTATTTGCCCAAAGTTCAGTGGCTAGCAGATAGTCTAAACCTCTGAATTCACACTTTAGCCATTTTGCAAATGTGGGTAAATTACTCAAATCTAGAAGAGGCTGTGACAATTTTACCTTCAGTTTCAAATCATTAGGTACATTTTTGGATATGTTCAGTAAGTTTAGAGTATTGTACACAGGCTTTGAATTCCTTTAAATTAAGCTAGTTCAGTTTCCTTAAGCCAAGATTGTAAACAATTGCTATGAAAAGAAAATTTTGTTATTGGTGATCAGTTTGGGGAAGAGCAATGCAAATCTTTCTAAAAAAAAGTCCTGAGTTGCACCAATGAGGGCTTTTATTAAACTATTTAACTATCAGGTACTAAAAATTCTACAGGGAAATGTCACATCATGACTTATAACAAGTTATTATGTCATTTTCAAGTGGGAAAATGGTATCATGAATTATTTAAAACCACCCCAGAATTGGAACTATTATAGTTTCCACAAAATTACAGTTCACACTGTCATCTATATACACATTTTCTTTGTGATTAATGTTTAAGTTTCCATGTTAATTCAAATAATTGAGTCAATATTATGATTTCGACTGATATAAAAATTCCTGAGAAATATTTTATTGCATATTTTATGAAAAAAACCTTAACACACTACTTAACAAGTCTATCACTTTTGTTTTCTATATAATCTTCATTATATTAGCTATGAGTATATGCCAGAATTTTCCTACTTCATTTTCTAAAGCATAATTCAAAGGGTGAGATCTAATTTGTACATTTTACTCCAGAAAAACTTGCCAAAATCTTGTAATATAGCTGTTTCTTTTTTATCTAATTTGTTTATTATTTAAATTATAATTTAAATAAACCAATTTTCCTTATTTTTCTATTTCTATATTTGACACCTTTAAATAATAAGTTACATTTAAAAGGACTTTTTTTTGTAAAACAAATGACATATTTGGTATTAATAATAAAATTAAAGGTAAATTTCAGGAAAAAAAAACACAACTATTGGGCTGGAGCAATAGCACAGCGGGTAGGGTGTCTGCCTTGCACGTGGCCAACCCGGGTTCGATTCCCAGCATCCCATATGGTCCCCTGAGCACCGCCAGGAGTGATTCCTGAGTGCAGAGCCAGGAGTAACCCCTGTGCATCGCTGGGTGTGACCCAAAAAGCAAAAAAAAAAAAAAAAAAGACACAACTATGTAGCATGGTAGCACTGTGCTCTGTTTCGAGTGAGCACCGGTAACGTCTCTATTGTGAGATTTGTTGTTACGGTCTTTGGCATATGGAATATACACCACTGGGAGTTTGGCAGGTTCTGCTGTGCTGGCGGGGTACTCTTGGTAGCTTGCCGGGCTCTCTGAGAGGGATGGAGGAATCGAACCCCAGCTGCGCTGTCGCTACAGTCCCACAACTAAGTAAGAAAATGAAATGTTACATAAACTACTGCTACTAAGTAACATTTAAACAAAAGTTACAGTAAGCCAGGCTTGAGTAACAAACAGATGCTGCTATCTATTACCACAATAAGTTTCAAGGAAAAATATGCAGTGTGCACTAGTATTTCCGTAGTGATATTTCTGTATAGTCTCTTGATACGATGAGGAAACACCAGAAACTATTTTGGGGCGTTTAATTGATTTGGACCACAACTCCTCTCCACTCTGTGCTCAGGCTTTGCTCTCAGAGTTGCTCAGGACAACATGTGATGCCGCAGATCAAAACAGAGCATTTGCGCCGAGCAGTCCTTTATGCAAGAGCATTTGCCCGGAGCACTTCTTTGCACAGAGCATTTGCGCCGAGCCGTCCTTTACGCAGAACATTTGCGTTGTCCACTCCTTCACGCGGAGCATTTGCGCAAAGCACTCCTTTCCGTATAGTATTTGCTCAGAGTACGCCTTTACACAAGAGTGCTTGCTCAGAGCACGCCTTCACGCAGAGTATTTGCGCAGAGCACTCCTGAGCATTTGCACAATCCTTTGACCTTTATTTACCTCCAGCTCCCCAAAGGGAACATTCTTCTTGCCTGGTGGGGTGACGGGTAGTGGAAGTACCCAGGGCTCAATCCTAGCTTTGTACTCAGGGATTACTCCTAGTGCGGTAGTATTGGGATCAAACATGAGTTGACCCGTGCAAGGCAAGTGCCTTACTCACTGGACTATTGCTCCAGTGCTCTAGTTCCCCGCACAGAACATTCTTTTTTTTTTTCTTTTCTTTTTGTGTCAATACTCAGCAATGCTCTGTTTACTCCTGCTTCTGCACTCAGGAATTACTCCTGGCAGTGCTTGGGGATCCACATGGGATGCTGTGGATCAAGCCCTGGTCAGCCGCATGCAAGGCAAGTGCCCTACACGCTGGACTCTCATTGCTCCCCAACAGAATATTCTTAAATAGAGTTGTTTGTCAGGTTTATTTTCAATGTACATTTTTTTTTCAGCATCATCCATTAAATTTATTTGTTGAAGAAAGGAATCAGGAGAGATTTTATTAGTAAAATGATCACCATCATTAAACTGAAGATTTAAGCTGCTCGCTTTAATCATGATTTTATTCAATCACCAGCAAAACCCAGAAGGAAACCTTCTGATTTTGCTGCTTTGGATGAATCTCTCCATCCCTGTTGGGTCTCTGTGGTTTTAGCTGAAAAGTTAGGGGTTGAATTAAATGATCTCTGTGGTTCTTTTCTGCTCTACACGACCTTCGCTCTTTTTTATCAAGGTATAAAAATCTTCTTGATAGAAGTATCAGGAATCTTCTTTACCTTTTCTCTTGCAAGAAAAATGAGGCTAATGAAATGGTACGTCGGCAGAATTGAAGCATTGGCTCACCATGCAGTGGTCCAGTGCTGTCTATATGCGCTCTTGTTTTATTCAGCTTTGGCTTCCATCATACTTATGCATAGGAGTCCCTGCAGTTGGCTCAGGTACCAAGGTTCATGCCTCAGGAAACATGTAGAGGTTGCCAGTCAGGCACCAACCTTTGGTACTGGAGGGTATTCCCGAGCACGAGAAAGCTTCACACTGATATCATAATACTAGTCTGCTTATGTGCTTACTTGCGAAACTCACAGTTCATTTTCTTTCCAAATGAAAGGCCATGCTAGCACGATCAACATGCCTTATGTGTTTTAGTGAAATTTGTATAATTAAGAGAGTAAATGTTAATGGTGTTAAGAAGCACACGCGTTTGGACAGACCTTACGGCTAGAGAAGATTCTTACCTTTTCATTTCATTTATTTTTGGTTTCAGAACTTCAGATGGTGGCAAGGTTGTTGGCACCATAGAAGTCAGTGTCGTGAAGATGGGGGAGATTGAGGATGGGGAAGCCGACCACATCACGACAGATGTGAAGGGACCAAAGGTAGGGTCTCAGTAAGCAACTTGCACACACGGAATTAGAAATGACCAGCTTTGCCAGACTCCTGAATCATCAGCTCCCCTCCCCTCTCAGTAGAATATGAAATTTCACCAATCCAGAGTTAACTGAGACATTAGCATTGGAACTGGAGAACTGTTATATATTTTTTTTCTTCTCCAAATCAGAAGGCCCGTCTGCATGGAGTTGTACATAGTTGAGAATGGCTCGCAGCCACGTTCCTTCAACTCTCTCGCTCTGTGCTGATGGTGCCTCTTCTTCATTGGGCCATCACTCTGGTGACCTATCATCATCAACCATCTCTGAGAAGCAGAGAAATTCCGTAAGGGCTGTTGGCAAAAGTACCACTGGTCTGCTCTTAAAACCCTCCTTTGGAAAAAGATGGCATTTGAATTTAGAAGTGAATTTGGATTTCATTGGTATTTGAAGGAGGACATTATCAGTGATAACACTGTGCCTGATGAGTTATCAGAGCGAGAAGGAGGAAGGAATAGGGGTCCATAGAGAGTCAGTTTCCTCCGTCGGAGAAGCAAAGCAACTCCCTCGAATCCCAGGAGAAAGACCCCAATGCCTAGCCATGTGTGTCCAGAATTTACTTTCTGGTCTCTTAAGAAAGAGCAACTTGATATAAGTATGACCCCAAAGTCCTGTGTTAGAATGCAACTGCCTACTGTATTTAGGATATTCTTAAAATCTGCTACTTGTTTTCTTCAGGAAAATAAATCTGTGTATACACTATAATTCCTGCCTTTTCATATAAATGTCACTGAAGTAACATTGGTTTACAAAAGTATAAATAATAATTTATGTTTCAGGAGTATAATGTCACCACACCACCTCCACTACCCAAGTGTCCACTTCCCTCACCATGGTCCACCAAAATCTTTAAGCCACCTCCCCCCTTTTTTGATAGGAGGTCTATTGTAGTGTATTTTCTCGCTTAAGGCCCCTTATCTGGGAGCACATTTCACTGTTGGTATGTAAGAAAACAGACCTATATGGGAGATGGTGTTGAGCTAACACTTAACAGATCATTAACTTTACTGAGATAGCTAAGAGTGGCTTTCAATAAACAAATAGTGCTCTTCTCCCGAATAGGTGAGGGCCTTGCCAGCTGTGACAGGCCTCTGTTCCTTGGAAGTCCCCTCAAAACAAATCTCTGATCATAAAAATATCTCTTGGAGGCCCAGAGTTTGCACTGAGTTGTTTGTGAGGATCAGGGTCCTTGGGGAGGCTCTACAGTAGGTCCTCATGGATGTGTGTCTGCAGGACCCGCATCTACCAGTAACCTTCCCAGGGACTAGGCCCATTTGTTTCGTCCTTGTCAGACTCCTCTTAGTCAGTGAGTGCTTGTATCAGCATGAATGGACGGAGGGTCAGCAGGCTAAGCAGAGGACTGAAAGAAGAGAGAGGCAAATCATCACTTCTGTAGTTGGAAGCGCATGGCAGTAACACCCCGTATTCTGAAGGAGACATCCCTTCTGCCTGCAGAGCCATCACCAGGCCCCTCTCTTCTGAAAGCTGGCCCAGCCCTTGGCTCCACTGCCGTGGTGCTTTGAGGTTGCACAAATCAAATCCTGCTCTTCTCATAAGCAGAGAACTTGATCCCCGGGAAGATGTCCCAGCAGAGTCCTGTTTGTTCCTGGCTTAGTAATATGAACCTATAAAAAGATTTTACTGAGTCATTCTTGAAATAGAATTCTGGTGGCGGTGTCATCCCATAGACAAATAAGTTGTGTGTTGTCTAAAATGGGAAGCCTGGCCCTCATATTGAGCTACTTGCCCAGCTGGCCAGATAGTGCCAGGAGTGTCCCCAGGGGCCCCCGAGCACTGCTTGGGAGAAAACCCAATGGTGAGCACACGGGCATTGTTGAAACGAGTTCCTGCCTGTCTGGATTCTTGTGAAATTTGGCTTTCTGCAAAGCAATTCTACACTTTCTTGGCATTCCTTGAAAATATTTCTGATCAAGTACAGGTCCCACTGTATGATATTTCAAAGAGTATTAGGAAATGACTTCATCTTGGTGTTTATCAAAGGGTGATCAGAATTATCCGAGACTCATTAGAAAAGCAAATCAGAATGATCTGAGAGTCATTAGAAAAGCCAAAGCAGGGACTTTTTTTTGCAGATCAGATTTTTTTTATTCAATCAAAACCCATTCCTATAAAGTATTTATATGATCTTTAACAGTGACTTAAGGCCTAAAATTAAGAACTATTAAAACACATGGAAATAGAAGGTAACTAAGCATATGAAATAGAGGCTATGCCTAAAATACCATCCCTTTCATTGGGTTGCATTAATGGGGGAGAAAGAACCACTTTTCGCACTTAGTCACGTACCTGAGGGACACATATGATTACTTATGCATATTGAAGCTAATGAAAGATTAGTACCCGAGGGACCACAGAAATAGTACAGGAGTTGAGGCACTTGCCTTCATGCAGCCAACCCTGGTTCAATCTCAGGGACCCAGGGAACACATAAGGTTGCCCAAGCACTGCCACGAGTAACTCCTGAGTAGAGAGTAGCAAGAGCATCTCAGGGATGACCCAAATACAAAACAAACGAAAAGATTGGTATCTAGATGGATCTGGTTGGGTGGACCTAAGGAAAATGCAAAGTGGCTGCAACAATGGCAGTTAATTTTCCACAGTTCTGGGTAATTACAGACTAAGGCATCAGACATTTCATCTCCTACTTAGAACTCATCTTGGCTTGCAGAACTCTGCTGTGCTTCCACCTGGCCTTTTCTTGGAGCTCAGGGAAGGGGGGGGAGGGAGGGAGGGAGGGAGGGAGGGAGGGAGGGAGGGAGGGAGGAAAGAGGAAGGGAGGGAGGAGGGGGAAGGAAGAAAGAGGGAAAGATGGAGAGGGATAGAGGGGGAGAGGGAGAGAGATACAGAGACACACACAGGAGAGAGAGAGAGAGAGAGAGAGAGAGAGAGAGAAAGAGAGAAAATGGTTTATGTCTTCCTCTTTTGGTAGAAACACACCAGCCTTAGAGGATAAGGGTCCCCATGGCTTCATTCAAATTTGTTGATCTCTCTAAAGGTATAACCTCTACAGTCTTAGGGGGAATTGGGACTCCAACATGTCGGGGGACATAGTTCAGCTCACACTAATTTTCCTTGATATGATAAACTTCACTTTAATCTGGACTTTTGTACAACTTCCGGAGTATAGTAGAAACTGTAATCAAAATCCCAAACTCTTTCTTCCCCCATATATTTGCTTACTTGCTTTCTCAAATCACATTCTCATTACATTTTTCTCATGGGATAATTGCTATGAGGGTCATTAACAGAGACCAATACAAACTTTAATTTGATATGAACAGTCATAGATATACAGAACAAAAAATTTTAAATTATATAGCAGTATAAAGAAAAATCCACTCGAAACTACTGACATTGTTCTTTTATGGTCCAGTATTGAAGTAGGTATTGAAATCTTTTTGTTGCTTTTAATTTTGAATCCATCTTTGACTTAGAGTCAATAGGTAGATTCTATTGATTCTGCTTTCTGAATAAATTCAGAATTCGGCTGCTGGTGACCCCTTCTCTGTTATCTAGATTTTTGTGGGTCACTTCGAGTTTTACATGAATTTCCTCAGTAGTTCCCCAATTTCCTTCTGCATCCTTTCTTCATCGGTTCTCAGAAGATAAGTTATTAAGATGTAACACAAGGCATGTCAGTCCTTCAAATATTTTTGGCTCCCTGAAAGAATAAGGCCCTTTCCACAACCTAACTTTGAATCTCACAGGTCGGGGATTCTGTATTTACTTCAACCGTCTCATCCTCCACGTCTCCATTTGCCCACTTCTCTTGAGCTGCATTATCTCCCTGGCCATTCTCAGAGCATTCTAATCACCTTACCAGCTCAGGTGCTTGCTTCTCTCTGACTTCTTTCTGGTCTTTATGGAAAGTGTCACCTCCTCACTGAAGGCTTCTCGCCACCACATTCTAAACTGCAGTTCTCTGCCACCACATCCTAAATTGCAGTGCCCACCCAGAAATGCGCTCTCTCCCTTCTTGGTCTGGTTCCTCAGAACTTACCTACTCAACTCATTGTTATTTTTATTTTCAAATGTGGCAAGCCTATGGAAGTCAGTGTCAGAAGATGGAGCGATTGAGGTGATTTCACTTACTGCCTATTTTCCTCACTAAATTTAAATCTCCTGACATGAAGGTATTTTTCAATTTTTTTAATCTCATTTATTTCCTGTACCTAGCACAGAGCTTAACAAAGAAAAAATTGAGTTATGAAATGAGAAAAAACTAAGTTTGTTTTATAGAAAGAATGTATATGACTATAGATAATTTTTGACCATCTGGTCAGCCAATAAATAAAACACGGAATAGGAATGGAGGAAGGAGTGTAGAGTTATAAAAAGAGTAATTGGAATAAAGAAGCACCTTTGAGGCAATTAAGAATAAAAGGATGCCAAAGAAAGAAGAACTAGGGAGCAAAGCCATGAAATCAAGTGAAAGATTAGGAAAGCTGTAAGAAAAGCTACACAAGTAATTGCCAACGGAATTCCTGGGACTGGGACTGGGACAAGGTTATCTCCATGCTCTGGAGCAGGTAGAAACTCCCATGCCTCTTGCCTGTATTGAATCCTCAATCCAGGATTGAGTTCACTGATGAGCATTGGTTGGGTTATTGGTGGAGAGTGGAAATGGTCTGGTTCCACAGCAGAATCCTTAGTGAGACTCGTTCAATTTAACCCTTGCCTTGTCTCCCTTAACTTTAGATGTCTACATTTTATTTGAATGAGGCATATTACTAGTGATAAAATTGGTTGTGAGTTCCATTACTAATGCCAGTGTCAGAGATGGTGCTGGTTGAGGGATAATACATCCCCTTTCAGCTATGAATTAAATTTGAGTGATTTGCTTCTCTTCTGAGGTCAGTTCCCACCACCACCACCACCCCCACCACTACCACCATTTTTTGGTTAGATATTAGGTAAAACTTTCACCAGCCCTGGTCAGGGAAGATGAAGACCTTCTTAGAGATAATTATCTACCTTTTTGTTTAAAACCATTCTCAAAAGCTTCCATTTCCTTATGTTCTCCAAATTAGTCATATTTGTATAGATCTTTGCAGACATATAATATTCATCTCTAATCCATCAGTATTCCCTACCTCCTATAGTCTAGGGCTTATACTGGGGCCTGGACATTTAGTCATGAATCAAATAGGTACAGATGCTGCCTTTAGAGGAACTAAAAAAAAAGGCATGGTGGGGGGAAAAACTGGAATATTGTTGATTGATCTATGGTACATGAGCTATAGAAAAAATGACAGTGAGAGGAAAAATGCTCAGCTGAGAAAATTTTATGGTAGGAGATCAAGGACTGGTTCACAGGAAATGTGATATTTCAGTTCAGATGTACAGGGAGTAGGGAACAAGGTGTTTGGCTATTAGAAGAGCAAGAGTTCTAGATGAGTGAATAGCTAGAGCAGAACCCCTTGAAGTCACAGCACTTTGTTATATAGAAAAAACAATAGAAGACCCTGTGACTGGAACAGTGTGCTATGTGGGAAGGAGAATAAGAGGAACTGAAAACAGTTGTTCCCAGGCAGAGAAGGTAGATTGTGTCTTTCATGGCCACTAGACTAGATGCTATGGCTAGCTGTAAAGCCAGCAGAGGATTTTCAAGTATTGCTCCGAAACGATCTGAAATCATGCTTTAAGAAGTCCATTCTGGCTGCAGTGTTGAAAATGATGCAGAGGGATGGGAGGGAGAAGAATGAGATCCAGTTAAGAGGCTATTGCAAAGATTCAGGATTGAGTTCATTGATGAGCATTGGTTGGGTTGTTGGTGGAGAGGGGAAACTGTCTGGTTTCACATGCAAGGCTGAACAAGGGAGAGAAGCCCTGTTTTATGTGAGTATGTGATAAGCAGGTAAAGAAGAATAAAACATTTTTATAACATTTGGATTAAAATTTATTTCTGACATTCAAATAAAGGTGCATGCTGACAACTGGAGTCTGAATTTAGGAAATATGTTCAGATTATAATTGCATATCTGCGGGTCATCAGAGGGTACTTGAATGGCATTTAAATGATATTTAAAACAAAATTTAGTCAGATAAATGCACAGAAATTTTATATTCTGAAAATGTACATTTCTGTGAATATGACCACTTTACTGTATTGGCCATTTTATTTGGATTTTATCTATAGGCATTGCATTAGAAACTTTAGAAGGAAATGTCTAAAACATAGACACACATGCACCGTATTATTTGCCATTGATTGATTATTATGTCATACGACCTGTATAGAATTCTTCTGTGTGTTTTTAAGAGAGGGAGAGAGGTAAAGACAAGTTATGTTTTATTATTATTAAAATGATTTTTCGTTTCAGTATCATTAGATGCAAGGATGTCACTGTCACTGTTCATCGATTTGCTCGAGCGGGCCCAGTAACGTCTCCATCGTGAGACTTTGTTGTTACTGTGTTTGGCATATCGAATACGCCACGGGGAGCTTGCCAGGCTCTGCCGTGGAGGAGATGCAAGGATGCTAAAGGGTTAAAGCAAAGTTATTAAGCAAAGGCAAAGTTAGAGACTTTTCAGGGAACTTTGGCCAAACTTTGGGAGACTGGATCAAGGAACAAACACAGGAAAGAGCTTTGCCAGGAGACATCAGTTCTTAATGGATTCGTAGGAGACTTAATGATCATTGTTCTTACAGTTTGACTAATTTTCTGGTCCAGTGCATAGCAAATTGATATCTTAGTTGATATTCAAAATCATTAAGTTTCAGATTTTTATACATCTCCTGTTTCTTCTCCTTGGTTACATTTACCGTTCAATTACAATTTTTAGAAGTATGAATTAAAGTTACTAGACTTTCGGTACTGTCTGTGCTACTAGAAGAGTATGATTTCATTAATTCAGCTTAGAATCACAAATGTGTCGTCATGACTTTGAGAGTACATGCCATGCCAGGGGGTCACAAACACTGTAAATATAGATACTAGATTTTATAGGTAGATAATGAATAGCTTGATTCTTCTTAAACACAGATTCCATAATTTAAAAATTTTTACATTCTCTAAAAGTATCACCCTAGCACCATGATTTTGGGGCCTATTTATAAAAAAAAAATCAGTGAGTCTGAAGGCATCACAAATATGATTAGTGGCATAAAAAATCCTTCAATGTAAATAGATATACAGAAACTACAATCACAAGCTGAAGGAAATAATTGGTATTCTAGAATATTGATCAATTTATTAAATGTTTGTTGGCAATTTTTCATTTCTGAACTAGCGATACACTCTCAAGAGATTTCTGAATAGTTGAATTTTAAAATACAAGATATCCACAACTTAAGAATGTGATTATATTAGAATTGTTTTAAATATCTGCCTGCCAGTGTGGATAGAATATCTGAATATACAAAAGTCTTATTTCTGTATTTATTTGATAAGTATACCACATCCTTCTGTCAGGAAATACAAAACTCTTTGATTACAGAGAGGCAAGACTGCTTACTTGTAAAGAAGCAATTGCGCAGTTTTGTGGCCAAAGCTGTAAAAGTTATGATTGCCCCAAAAGGATCAAATGCAAATCATTGCTTTAAGTTTTATTTGAGTACATGGTTCTCTTTGGGTTGGAGCAATAGCACAGCAGGTAGGGCATTTGCCTTGCACGCCACTGACCTAGCCTACCCGAGTTTGATTCCTCGGCCCCTCTCGGAGAGCCCAGCAAGCTACCGAGAGTATCTCACCTGCATGGCAAAGCCTGGCAAGCTACCCGTGAGGTATTCGATACGCCAAACACAGTAACAAGTCTCACAATGTTACTGGGCCCACTTGAGCAAATCAGTGAACAACAGGAGGACAGTGATGATTCTCTTTTGGAAAGGAGGAGGGCTCATTGCTATATATCTAGTAATTGTGTGAGAAAGCATCAGGGACCTCTCATAAAAGATTGTAGGATCAGTCTGAGACTATAGGAGTTGATTGAATTTTGCACAACTATTCTGCGTTTTAGAGCAGAGTGTTGATAGGATAAATATGATGTTTATGAAAAATCTCATGACTTGTACTATTTTGGCTTGAAAGGAGTACAGGAAGTATTGGAACCAGAAGAAATAAATAAACTGAAGTCTGCTTAAGCCTCGCTGCACATTGCTCTAGTGGGTTTAGAAATGCATTTCCCAAATAGCTGTGGATTAAGAAGAGATCACCTCTGACTTCTTTTTGCTCAGGAAAACAATTTGGACAACAATGCATTTTAAGAGCAGTTCGCCGTTTTTCATTCTTTCAGCAAACTAGGCACCACTTTAAGCAATAAAACCATTAGGAAAACACATGTACCCCATCACGGAATTTCCTCGAGTGATGAATGTTATGATCATGGAATAAGTAGTGGACTATAACAGCATAGAAATTAACACTCAAAGCACGTTTTGCACTATTTTTCTTTCTCAGTGTGCTGGAAATAATGTATAACTGGCCTTTGCTATGATATTCTATGTCTGCAGTGATAGCTTAATACCTAGTAGCTAGCTCTGATTTTGGTGCCCATGGTTCTCACAAGGGGAGGAAGTTGAAGGAAATAGTCCAAACAATTCTAATCAGTCCTCTTGGGACCGTCTAGGCAGTTTGAGGTCCCGCGGTCCTGCTAGCAAAGCCATGTGTGAGGCGAAAGGATGGATTATTTCCCTTAGAACTCTGCACCAAGAGAGTCCACTGGGGATTTTGCTTGTTTTCTTTTTTCTGTGCATTTATTTGCTATCTCTGATTCACTTGCTTTAAAAAAAAAACTCTTCTTTTTCCCTGGCCCCTCTCGACTTTTTAAACAAAACATTATTTATTTTTATTTTATTTTCCTTGGAAGAAAACTTACTGAAAGAAACCAATGCTGGTGTCTGTTTATAGGTAAATTGTTCCCTCTCAACTTCCAAGGGACAGAAAAGTTTGACTTGGTGAATTACGATTTATGGGAGGCTGAATGAGTGTCCCAGTCTTCATGCACATTGGGACACTCTCGCTTATGCAAGGTTTGCTTACCAGGGACAAGAGGCAAACTCTTCTGAATCTTTTCCTCTTTCTGTCCAGTGGAGCATCAGTTCTATAAATGTTTTGAGTTTGTTCTAACAGAGCCATGATCCTGCATTAGCTCTTTTATAAGTTGTTGAAGTAGTTGCTCCAAGAATTTTTAATTTAAAGAGCAGTCAACTTTAATATTGTCCTCATATCTTTAGAGTTAGCATAACTTAACCATGTTTTGCTTGGGAAAGAAAACCTTATCTTTTTGCTTAACAACATAGTTTCCTTTATTTAAAGTTGCCTTTGCATAGAATTTAGAAAATAATGTGTTTTCGATGGTTGCCAAAATCATCCTAGAATCACACAAAATCACTTAACAAATGTTATTTACAATTGTAGGACCGTATCTTTAGGATTTAGGGACAACCTTTTTTAATAGCTTTTTACTTTCTTTTTTAAAGTCTTTAATTAGAACTCAAAAGTAATGTCGTATATGATTATACAACACATACGTAGGTAGTCATATATTAAAGCTTTAAGAAAAACTAAAAATAGTTTTGCCAAATCTTAATTACAAATTAAGCCCCGTGTGAAGCTAAAGGTGATTTTCAGAAATGTCTCATTCGAAACTTTTAGAAACCATGTGCTTCGTGTTTTGCTAATAAAGAGTTTTTTTTCTCATTTTGAGTGTTTTCAACTGTTTTTCTTTTCCTTTTGTCTCTGATTCTTTCCTAGTGCTCACTGGTGTGTGAATGTACCGCTCCCGAAAGTATGAATGGAAAGGATCACTTACCTTTTTTGAATGCAGGTATGTACTTTATTTTGGAAATCCACTCTAATTTTGGATGAGCATACATTTTCATTTCCTGTGAACATAGTACTGAGCTAACCTGTGTGAGTTCTTATAAAATCATTTGTTAACGCTTAGTGAATGCCCAGAGTCACCATGAAGACCCAACAAGGTGGGGGCAAACTTGCAATTCTAAGAAAAAGGTATGCAAGTACCCCTGCTCTGTGGCAAAACAAACGCATTCTTTCCAGCCATTGGACTTTGTATTATCTGAAATGGAACATACTGGGAATGAGGAAGTATGAGAAATGCAAACCTCCTAAGTAGTAGGACTTTCTAAGTAAACAGCTTATGAAACTTCTTAGGGAACAGTATCTTTAAAAAAAAAAAGTATGTGCAATATATATGAGCATGTTTTTGTGTACTCCTGGGTAATCTAGGTGCAGATTGTGTTACTTCTAATGTATTTAAGGAGTTAAACAGTATATTAAATGATGATCACAGAAATAAAATTGAGACGCGTTGTGCAGCTAAAAGATGCAAATTATGGAATTAGGTTTTGAATGATAATGCGAAGTATCTTTGTGAATACTACTTACAGTGAATAATGATGTCAACAGAGATAGACATTGTACTCATTGCTCTGCCTGCTATGATTCCCAGACCCTTTGAGCTGGTCTGAATGTGCTGTTGAAGAAGGCACTTCATCCCTATTTTACAGAGGAGAAATTGCTCAAGATCACCTACCTGTAAATAGCAAGCCCAGGATTTAAATCCAGTTTGATCACAAAAATTTTGCATCTAATTATTAGGCTGTGCTACTTTTAAGAAGCAACTAGCAGTAGAATATGTCATTACATTTCTCTAACCCTGTCATGTTATACATTTAAACTGAGACATAGATTGTGTAATAATCATGTTAATATATGATGCCAAATTGCAAAGACTTGCTAACACATAACCCTGAAACTATTAGCAGGTTTGGGATTTTTTTTCTGCCTGCAGGAAGCTGCCGATTAAAAAAAAAAGAGTGGAGAAAGCAAAGGCAGCTCTCTGTGTTTATAAACAGAGAACTCAGTACAATTTAGCATCATAAAATCTAATTCATAAGAATGGAGAGGAGCAGCTATTTCTCAAACCAATGTCAAAATAACAACTTTTACATAATCAAAGGATATTGTTTTAAGAGGGATGTACATTTACCAGCATGAAAGGTTCTACTCAAACAGTTAGACCAGCCATACACCATAACAATGTATGATTAGTCAGCAGTTTGTCTTTATTACAATATCTAAAAGGAACAGGGGGTCAACTTTCCAGTTCTATTTCTACCTAATACTAGACCCAACCTTATGTTCGCTAAAACCTCTTGCTAATTGGTATAATTCTCAAAGTGTATAATTTAGACAACTGAGTTTATCGAGGGATATATTTTATTTATACTAATACAATTGCAATAAATCAAATAACCACCTAATACCTGTAACTTGTAATTATATTCTAAATGGATCACTCATGTCAGCCTTTAAAAATTTTTTGCATACACAAGGAAATGTCATTTTTGAATGTTGGTTGTTTTTCACTGGTACACATTTCAAAGAAAAAGGAATGACTCTCTCTGTAAGAAAATATATTACCACAAGGAATAAGAGACAGAGGGAACATAGTGAAAAATAAATCTGCTTATGCTAATACTTATGCCCATGAAATCTAGAAGGCATGACTCTTCATGCGTGGTGTTGATTACTAGGGAATAATATTCTATTCATTGGTGTACAACTTACACGACAAAGACATAGAATTGATGGAATTGGTCATGAATTCTGATACTGAAAATTCCCTTCCTTGGTAGAGCAGAAGAGAATTGACTTTTGCTTTTCTCTTTTCTTAAAGGTGATGACAATTTTGGTGGGGATACGCTATTCAGTTCCAAAAATATTCTTCAGTGTTCCTACCCAGGCAATCCAAACTTGCATTTGAAACCTAGGACATTTGCCACAAATATTTCCTTTGGGTGTTCTTCTATTAGGAATGTTAAGACTAAAAGGACATCAAATGTTATAAAGCCTATTTTCCAAAGTCTAAATACAACTTGGTACTATAAATGAATGTTCTACTTTAGAATACAAAAGTGTGTCATGCAGGAAGAGCATCTGTATGACTGATAGTCCTATGTGCACTTTGGGATTTTTTTCTACTTACCTATCAAAATTTAGCAAGATTCGGAATTAATCTACTATATTTCCGTGTCATTTTTCTTTTCTTTATATATAATCTGCAAGTAAAGGGAGCTATTGGTATTCTTGTGGAGCCTTTGTACTTACGTATTATATGGAACTTGCCAGCCTCAAGTGAGTTATGAAGTTCTTTTTGAATGAGTAGAAGAGAATGTCAGACCTCAGATCAGCTCTTCCCTTTTCTATTTATATCTCTAGAGGATTAATTTATAAGTCAGGACATTCACTCATCTGTTGTCAGGCTGAAAAGAAAAAGCTCTTCTCACTGAGGTCTCACCTTTGTCATGCCCTGTTCACTTTGTAAATTGAATGTATATGTTTGGCCTCTGGGGATTAAGGACAGGAGGAGAGAAAAGATCCTCATCCTTTTGAGGAAGAGACAGGGAACATGGAAGAGAGCAGGCCGACCACAGTTCCACCAGACACATAGGTGGCTTCGCTATATGGGAAAACAAGTTCCTTTTAGCTGTGTTGGATTTCATAATCTCTGAAACAAGAAACACTGACGCACACAGTTATGAGAAATGGGAAATTCTTACTTGCATTTTTTAATGGAATCATAGTTATAGTTATAGATATAGTTATAAAGCTTTCATGTTTGAGTTTCAGTCACGCACTGATTGATTGAACACCCATCCCTCCCCCAGTGCACATCTTCCACCACCAATGTTCCCAGTATCCTCCCCCATCCCAGCTCTCCCTCTACCTCTATGGCGTACTCTCTTTTGTATTGTTTGTCATGAATAGCATAAGATGTCATGCAGCCGCAAGAGCAGCCGTGAGCTCCTAGAATTTTAAAATTTTAGACTATTGGGGTCTGAAGAAATCTCTGCAGTGAGCTGCTCAGTTCCGAAATTCTTTTGTGTGTCTCTCAATTCTTACGTGCTATGACTTTACAAATTCCCTTATCCATAGGATCAAATTGTTAGCACAGTAGATATACTCCCTTCTTTAGTTCTTCATTTAAGTGACATAGTAGGAATAAATAAAACTATTTGCTTGGAAGGTGAGGAGGAGGGAGAGGTAATGTTAATATTTAAAGGTGTAGGTGATCAGGCCCCTTAACATGTTCGTGGAATTGTGTATCCTGTCCAATCAGAGTAATTGAGGTATCTTGTATAAAATAACACATGGGCTCTTGTGTGTTCATGTGAGAACTCTGATCAAAGCTGGGATTTGTGAGTCAACAGGGTGATCCCCCAAAACAAGTCAATCTCTTGTTTGCCTAGACAGCCTTTGACTTTCTGTATAGTCCTCAAATGTTAATATTGACTTCAAGTCATTTGCCTTTATATTTTCCTCTTTTTATTCTTTTTCTAAAATAGATCACAAAAGTATCCATTTTAATCAATTTTATATGGTGTCCCCTCTGCTCTGGTGGACACGATAGGCTTTGTCAGACTCATTTATGGTTAATAAGTCTGACTACAGATAAGGTTCTGTCAGAAATACAATTCTCTCTAGATATTTTCTTGTCTCCATTTCCTTGTCAAGACAAACTTCAGAGTTCTTTCATCCCCATGAACCTTGTGTTACTGCATCCCATCTGGGGCACTAACAGGGCCTCCTCACCAAATTTCCTATCCTCAGGTTTTGAATGAGTATCTCTAGTCAGCAAACAGTGGACTTGCTACACTCTCTTCCTAGGTTAAATCCCATACTTATAGAGTTCTGAAATTTTCTCTCTATTCTTTAAGGACACTTTCATGCTACATACATGTTGGGGGTTTTGTTTGTTTTGGGGTGACACCCAGTGGCACTCAGGGCTTACTCCTGGCTCTGTGCTCTGGGATCAGTCCTGTGGACAAGGAAGACCAAATGGGTTGTGGGGAATTGAACCAGCTTCGGCTGCATGCAAGACAAGCACTGGACATACTGGGCTATCATGCCAGCCCTTCGTGTGGCATAGTGATGTGTCCACTGTCTCTTGTATTCACAGAGGGCATTTCCAGCAAGGACAATTTCTAGGAATATGAACCCTGGGAAACTGAACAAAAGCTAGGGGCTTCTGTGCTATCAGTCTGAATGTATACAACCCTCCCCTCCCATCCTACCTCTCTGGAGAAATTATTGGTGTTAATACTTCTTGAATTTCACCTTTTGCCAAAATAGGATGTTATTCATTTGATTCTTTTTCTCAAAATATAGTTAAGCCATTTACATGCCACTTGACACCAGGAATGTATTCTGAGGCAGGCCTCATTATGTGATTTCACTGTTGACCAGAAACCAAAGGTAGTAAATTTTGGATACTTAGGGGTCACGATAAGCAGAACCATACAAGAGTCAATCAAGCACAAGAGGAAATTATGTTATCAAGAGATGTGGTGCAAACTAGCTGGAGGAGGCTGCAGCCACTGGCATAAGAGATAGTGACAGACTTTCAGGCTATGGGAGTTTCTAGGCAATAGGAATGCGGGGGATGACCAGTATATTGGTTGTTGATGAAATGCACATGCCCATAATTAGACTCTGTTTGCAGGAATCTTTAGCTGATAAGGTAGTCTAGGGGCATTGCTCAAATATTTATAGACTGGTACCACTAGGACTGGAGCAATAGCACAGCAGTAGGGTATTTATTTGCCTTGCACTCAACGGGCCTGGCAGAGCCGGGTTTGATTCCTCCACCCCTCTCAGAGAGCCCGGCAAGCTACCGAGAATATCTTACCTGCATGGCAAAGCCTGGCATGCTACCCGTGACGTTTTCAATATGCCAAACACAGTAACAACAAGTCTCCAAATGGAGACGTTACTGTGACCGCTTGAGCAAATCGATGAACA